TAAGTTTCTTTTTTTAAATTTCTGACAGGGATATTTTTATTGAAGATATCATCATAATATGAGCATTTGAATCATAATTCGTTATATAAAAATCTTCTCTGCATTAATTTTTTTTTTGGGTAAAATATGTGGCCAAAGCCTAAAATCTTTATCCAACTATGAAGAAGTCTTGGATCTATATATTCTATTGTTTTTATTTAACTATTGTAATCATATTTTATGCAATTGAAGAGAGTAAAGTTTGCTAAAGAAAAAAATTAAAACAACTATAATGAGTTATGTCTTGTTAAAAATATACCATTAATTGAATATGAGAGTCATATTTTGTAGTGAAAATTAATTTTTTAATCATTCAACTTTTAACTCACTTGTAACTCAATCCCTCAACTATGACTCGTTGCGACTCAATCCCTTAACTATAATTCGTTGCAACTAAGTTCTTATTTTTTATTTTTTTTAAAAAAATTTCTTATCAAGTAAGAGGGATAAAAAAATACTCATATATTATTTTAAAATACCTTTTTCTTACTCATTGATGTAAGATATAAGCGAATATGAAAATAAAATTAACAAAAATTAAGGGACTAATTTGTAAATGATTCAAAAGTTGAGGGATTGGGTCATAGGCAAGTCATAGTTGAGGTTGAGTCACAGTGAGTCATAATTGAGGGATTAAGTTATAAGTGACTTAAAAGTTAGAGAAGTGAAAGATTAATTTTTCCTATTTTATAAGTCAGAATTTTTTATAAAGATAAACACCCACTTTTCTATGGATAATGAATGGGTGTTGTTGAGCCAAAATCTAAAGGATCGTTGATCCATTCCAAACTTGCGAGTTTATAATTATGTTTTGCCAAAATTATCAATTATTCCCCGAAAACACCCAACGCCATATCAAATCATGATGGGAAATGCATATTTGCAGCTGGGGGCACCCTCTTTTTCTTTTCTTCCTTTGAAAATGATAAATAAAATTTAAATTGGAAAGATATAAAAAGAGAAAAAGAAAAAGACTTGTTTGGTTGTAGGTGTAATAGGAGAGCAATCATGGGATACCCTTTGTCTCCCCTCGTGGACCCCATCTCCCCACTTTTCATAAATTAATTGTCTCCCCTAAATGCGTCATTTTTTTGCTTTCTGCTGCTGAACATCTAATTTCATAACTCATACCTGCTAATGATTTATGTCGCAGTCAGGTCCCCAAAAAAAAAAAAAAAGGTTGCAGCAAAATTATATTTTAAATCATCATTTATAGTTTTCTTTTCACTTTACTTTTGCTCTGTAATATATTTCTCTTTTTTAAGTTTTTGGGCCTTCTTTTTTAGTTTTTTATAAACTTCAAAAAATAAAAATATGATAGTTTTAATTTTCATTAAAATATAATTAAATGCAAAAATTTAACTCAAACTCCTCGATTTCTCTACTGCCGGGGAGTTTGAGCGGTAGACAGCGTGGATTTTGATATATAATTTTTAGATATAGATTTAGAAATTTAAAGAAGTAAAGTATATAGGGTGTGATGAAAAAGTCATCTCTTCGCGGTATACTATTTAAATAATGATCAATAAATAAAGTTAAAATAAAAAATTTGGCGATACCAATCCCTGTTGGACGTCAAACTAACCAGGCCGTCTTTTGGTGTATATATGTATGTAGGAACACCACAGAACCTGTCTTTTCTTTAGGATGTTGAATTAAATTAAATATTTCTACAGCGGGAGCTTCATCCATCTCACGGCTCCTTTAAGAAGACGTTCGATCGTTTCCAATATATTTTTCGTTGCAGCTGTGGCTCCTGAAATTTTAATATAACAAGTATAAAGGAACCTTCATGTACTTTAATTATATTAAAATCCACATTGCGTTCTGAATGTTCATGCAAACATGTTTTTTTCATTATTTTTTTAAATATATACTCTCTGATTAAAAATATAAGACATTTTTTAAAAAACTGTATGTTTAAAAATGTAAAAATATTTTTAATATTTTAAAATATAATCATTATTTTTTTTTAAAAGTGCCTCTATTGATAATAACTTTATATTTATTATAGTGTGTTTAATAGAAATAAATATAAAAAATAAAATTAATTAAAAAATAAATAATTTTTTTATTTAAAAATAATATTTAATTAAAAATATTTTATAGTTCTAAACGTAGGGAGTAACTTTTATTCGTGAGTTTAACTTGGTGAATTCTTTATATTTTGATCACCACTAGTCTACTACATGGGAGCACTAATCTCAGAAATGCAGGCGAATCACGTCTCAACACATATACACTTCGCGGGATTTGGGAACGGTGATATGTAGCGGAGTCGAGGACGATTTTCTGGGTGACAAAAAATGATAAAGCTACGAGTTCCCCATCTCATGGGGTGTGCGTGTGGGGCATGTCCATGCGTGTCTCCCGATGTTACCGCCCACGTGCGCTGCCCACCCACGCCCAGCCCTCCAGCTCCTCCCGACATCCTTAATTTTCGTGAAATTAAACATATTAATTCCTGCAACACGCATAGATCAATGTAACTAAAGCACTCAAATCATCATGCCCCTATTCAACTTCCTAATCATGCCTGTTTCTACCAACCTCTTCCCACTGCTCCTGCAGCTAATCTCGTGGATTCTACATACACATGCATACTCTAATTTCTAACTTGGTCGATTTCTTCACGTTTCATCATGAGTATCGTGATCAAACACTGATAGCTTTGTTTGCCTGGTTTATCGATCACTGTTCATCATTTCCCCCTCTTTCGTTGCAACCAAATTTCAGCTCTGCACACTCACATGCAGCCCCTTTCTTTTTCTTTCTCCTTTTTCCCCTCTCGCGCTGCAACAACTATACATTAATTCTTTATTTGGAACCCCGTCGAGACTTCTGTAAATTATCGTCGGGGGAAAAACATTTGCATTGTGAACACCCTTCGCTCCCTCTATTCTCCTATCCTTTTGCATTTATATGCAGTTAAAGTAGTCCTTTCAATTATAACAGACCAGAGACCGGGGGGAAGACAGAAAATTTTAATTTTAATTATTCAAATACCACAAAAATCAAATGAATCGTGATAGGACTATACTTTGCCATCCCATGTGGGAAAGACAGCGGATTCCTTAAAGTTGCATCATCACTTCGATTGCCTCCATGATTAAAGTCTGACTTGAGACATACTCTGCCCCCCACACCCCCGCTCCAATAAGAATTAATCATCTGCTGACGAGACAACTTTAAACTAACCGATCGAGAAAACAGTAATAAAAAGGGCACTGCGATATGAAACTCGTTTCAAGAAGTGAGCATACACAGGACAATTATACTTTAACAGGAAAATGACAACGGTCACGGCTGGATATTATTGATGAAAGCGCATGCAGTAAAATATATGCTCACCTAGTCAGCTGCACGTTCGTTCATATAATTATTATCTTTACTGTAGGAAAGAGCGGTCGCCGAGAGGTCTTCTGAACGCAGTAAAACTACAGATCAAGGATGAAATCGCGTAAATCTATGTTGGATCAAGTGCCTACTTCATGTATATGCATACGCTTATTCGTCTTGTTTTTTTCCGGCTTCATATATATATATATATATATACAGTGACAAATTTATCACCCCCATAACATTCTCCTTCCTTAAAAATATTTAAAGGCATGCCTGAAAAAAAATCGCTTTGCTAAATCTTGCACCTTCAAAGGTAGAAGCAGAAGAACACCCCCCCGGCGGAACAAAAAGAAATAATCATAGATCCGTCAATGTATATGCATTATGTATAGTCAGACGGAAGGAATTCAATTAAAATACAGATTTCAGTATGCCGCCGGATATGATAAAATAGTAGAAATAACATGTAAATAAAACGTTGGCAAAAGAAATGTAAATAAAGCAAACGTAGTGTACCGAATTAAGGAGGGGGGGGGAAGGAAACAGGGTGATGTTGCTGTGATTGATTCATATTATTACGAAGTGAATGAAAGAAAACATAAAGGAAAAGATTGAAATTTGAGGGGAATATAAGGAAAGCCGCATGAGTTATAACACGGAGAGACGGTGCGGTGATAATGAAATTTATATTGTACATATTGAGGTTTTATTTTAATACCAAGTAGTAGAATGGAGGGGAGGGGTTTTGGAGAGGTAGCAGGTGACAACTGACAAGAGCACAATGATGATGGGGCCGGCCCGGGAATGAATTAACCCCCCCCCCTCTTAAGGACAAAAAAAAAAAAAAGCAAGCCCTCTTATGATGCAAACTGAACTAACTTTGATGTCCTGACAGATGAAATTGGGATGGCTTTTGGAAGACGAGGGCAGGAGAGGCAGAACATGTAATGTAAGTGACGTCCATGTCAACTTGTCTATTATCCATTTGTGGACATCTCTCTCTCTCTCTCTGTTGTGTGAGTGTTTTTGGGGGCCGGGGGTAGGGGTGAGCATCGGTCGGTTCGGTTCGGTTCGTTCTCAAAATATACAGAACCGATCGATCGAATAACACTAAAAATGAAAACCGAATCGAACCGAATAAACCAATCAAACCGAATAAGGACCGAACCGAAATTTGATAATTCGGTTCGGTCGGTTAATTCGATTTTTTGGTTTCATATTGGGCTACTTGAAATTGGGCCCATTTTTTTTAAATATTAAAAAACAATACTATAAAATTGGGCTTTTTTTTATTCGTTTTTTTCAATGAGCCCATTTTAACATATGCTTGCTAACAGAATTTTTAATCCAGCCAAATGCCATATAAAGAATCCTTCCTCAGGCTCACATCACCGTTTGGTCCAAAAAAAGTTGACAAAAAAAAACGAATAAGAAAGAAACCAAAAAAAAAAGCTCGCATCACTGTTCAATTCCACATGAGGAATTCCTATCAGCCAAGTGCCATATAATATTGATAAAGAGAAGAAGATAACTTCAAATATTAAAATTAAACAACCACAGTACTATATAATCCAGTCATAGAAACCAACAAGTCTTTAAAATATTAAAATTAAACCATTACAATAATCAAATATCCAAATTAGTAAAACAAAATAAAATAAGCAACCTTCATAAATGGAGTACCATAGCACTAGCATCTTGCAACCTACATTACACAAGTAAAAATCATATAAGAAGCCAAGAAATCCTGCCCATCAGCTGAAAGTTTGAAATCAAGAAGTTACCAATATCAAGTAGAGAGTATAAGCATTCAATTGTAATAATTTGCCTAATGTAAAGACAAATCATAAGCAAAATCTAGATTAAATATGCTTATAACTTGTTAAAGGAACAAGATTATAGTTCTTACAATTCATTAATTTTGGTGTCATATTGACGAGCATCAAATTGTGATTCCTCAGCCTCAGGTGCTGTTGCTGCCATGACTGGAAGATGCAAAGAATTATTTACAGATCATCATGAAAAGAACTGGACGACAAAGCTTACATAACTACCAAATAATAAACATAATAGTATAGCAATTAAAAAGCTATATACAGCCACAGTGCCTCAAGCTATAACAATTAAAACATAACAGTATATTAAAATTAAACAGCCACAGTGCCTCAAGTCATTAAATTTAAAAATTAAAAAGCTAACATATAAATAATTACCTCAAGTCATTAAGAACAAAGGCTCATAGTACATCCACATTCGCTTCTATAGCAATTTTTTGAAGATCTAAACATAAATAAAGTATTTAATATTAATATCATTTAACCAATAACTCAACATTAAATTTAAAACAATATAACACATAATAAATCACCTCTCTCAATCTTTTGTGCGTCATCTATCTTCTCTTCTACTAGAACCGGAAGTGAGTGGTGAAGCCAGTCTTGACCACAAACAAGAGATTGCACAACTTTAGGAGTTAAAGAGCTCCTAGATGAATCTAGCACACGTCCTCCAGTGCTGAAAGTAGACTCAGAAGCAACAGTAGAAATTGGGACAGCCAAAACATCCCTTGCCAATTGAGAGAATGGGAAATCTAGGCCCATTCAACTTCCACCAACTTAAAATATTAAAATCATCCTTATCCATCTCAATTTCTTCAGCCAAATACTTGTCAACTTCTGTCCTACTAGTTCTCCTACCAAGCCTTTCACTCATGAATTTTTTCTTTTCATATTCAAGAATTTTTTTAACTTTCACAGCTGGGTCATCATCTTCATCAGATTCGTAGCAATTAAATGATTGCTCCTTTTCAACTTGCTTTGAAGGAGAGACATGTTCTTTGTATTCATTATACAAAGAAATGAACAAATCATTCAATTGCCCTCCAACTTGCTTTCCAACCTCACTAGAATACATCTTATCAAGTGAATATTGCACCCACTCAAGCTTATACCGAGGATTGAGAATAGCAGCCACAAACATCAATTTATTGATTTTTGAAGGATCTCCCCAATACTTATCAAATTTTTCTTTCATTTTATAAGCCATTGAAGAAAACTCCAAATCATCACATTTTCTCCACTCATCCAAAAGGCGGAATAACATATAAATCTCATGAAAAAATTCATTAGATGTGACAAGTGAAGAACTAGAAACACACAAAGTCAACTCATAGAAATGACTTAGAAACATTGTCATCTTTCTTACATTTGCCCAATCTTCAACATTAGGCACTCCCTCCCCACTTTCAAGATCAATCCTAAAATAAGGGTCCTTATCCTCAAACCTCCTAAAGGCAGCCTCAAACTTTTGAGCTGTCTCTAACATCAAATAGGTAGAGTTTCACCTAGTAGAGACATCTAAAGACAACAATTGCTTACTTGGGATTTTCTCATCTTCACAACTCTCTTTGAATTTTTTCATCCTAAGTGGAGATTGCCTCACAAAATGAACAGTCCCCCTTACTTTCTTTACAGAAGTTCATATTTCTTTCAACCCATCAACCACAATCAAATTAATAATGTGAGCAACACATCTCATATGTAAAAACCAACAGCTCATAATAGAATGGCCCCAATTATTATTTTTTCTCTCAAGTAAGACACAACAACATCATTAGTAGAGGCATTATCCACAGTAATAGTAAACACTCTTTCAATCCCCCATTCAAGCAAACATTTCTCTATTTCCATTCCAATATCCCTCCCCTTGTGACTAGATATTGGAACAAAATTTAAAATCCTTTTAACCAAATTCCAATCAGCATCAATGAAATGGGCTGTAATACACATATAGTTGATTCTTTGAATTGAAGTCTAAGTGTCAGTAGTGAGGCAAATCATTTGTTTACTATTGATCAAATAATCCTTGAATTTGATTTTTTCATCAACGTAAAGTTGAAAACAATCACGAGCAACAGTCCATCTAAAAGGAATCTTAAATTTTGGTTGAGCATGAGACATAAACCTCTTAAATCCTATCCCCTCAACAAATTTAAATGGCAATTCATCAGTCACAACCATAGCAGCCAAACTTTTCCTAATAGCATCTTGATCAAATTTCCAAGTAGCAAGAACAATAGCATCATCTTCTATACTAAAATTTAAATGTGTTTGCCTAGGCTCTTCTAGTTTAGGTCGTTTCTTGCATATTGTCATATGGTTCTTTAGTGCAGTAGTACCATTTCTTTTAGGATCACTAAAAAATTCTTTTTCACAGTAGTTGCACTTACCTTTGGTCCCCCATGCTCATTCACATATCTAGTGAAATGATCCCAGACCTCAGATCTTGGCCTCATGGCTTTCCTCTTCATCCTTTGCAAGGAACTCATTACTTCAGTTCCACTTGATGCTACTGGGGCTTTGTTTTCTTCATTAACTTCAGTTTGGTTTGTAGCCATAGCTTCAGCTTGAGAAGACATCTGTGACAATGCATAGCAATCAAAAAAAATAAATACAAAGTAGAGACAGAGCAACTCAGCAAAGAACGCGAAAGCAGTCAATTAAATTCCCAATAACATTTTCCTTTGTTGCATTTTGGCTTGAAAGGAACACACCACATAAACAAAAAAGAGCAAAGAAGTAAGGACATAGACGGAAGATGAACCAAAGAAAACTCATTGTCAAGCTACAGTGAACTTCACAGCTAATGACGACATGAATCTCAACAATGCATAATCAACAATGCATAATCAAGCATAAAGTTCATAGTGTGGACTCACAGAGGAAGCAATTAGAACTCTTATGAAACAACTAGATCTTGGGCATGGTAGATCAAGACAACAAGAACCGACCAAATCAAAGGGAGAGAGAGGAAAAGCTGCATTTCGAGGAAAGAAGCAAAAAACCTGTTAAAATGCTTTACGCAAATCGTCCTTCAAGCTTAAGGTTCTGTGTTTCACAGATCTAAGCAGCCTCTCGCCTTCAGACAGTGTCTCCGTGAGTTTAGTGACAGCAAGGGCAAGAGAGAGAGAGACTGAGATGCCAGAACAGGGATAGGAAATCTGAGCTGCGAATAATCAGCCTGAGATGTAAGAGATGCGAACGGCAAGATGCGAGAGATGCGAACGACGACGGCTTGAGGGAGACGACTTGCGATCTGAAAGTTGAGAGTCTGAGAGGCTAAGACAGAGCGATTGAGTGAGGCTGTGAATCTGTGGTGACCTGAGCTGCTAGAGAGATGGCTGATGAGTGATGAGAGAGAGCGACTGGTGAGGCTATATGACGGCGAGAGAGACGACTTGCGAGTTGCGATCTGAGAGATGAGAGTCTGAGAGCCGAGAGGAAACTTGAGATGAGACAGGGTCAGGGTGAGTAAGGCTGCGGTCTGCGTCTGTCCGGACTGAGGCAGTGAGGCGGGATATGACTTATGGATTAGGGTTTTTTTCAACTTTCATATTTTTATTTCAATATAAATTAAAATAATAAAATAAAATAATTTATAAATTAATAAGTAATACATAATTCGGTCGGTTCGGTCTATTTGATTTTAAATTTTATTAACCGAACCGAACTGATCAACCGAAATATTTTTAAATAAAAAACTGAATCGAACCGAAAAATCAAATAGACCGAATCAAATAATAAAAATTCGATTCGATCCGATTTGATTCTCGATTTCGGTTCGATTTTGCTCACCCTAGCCGGGGGGGTGTTGGTGACATGAAATAGGAGTAACGGGAGAGGGATAGAAAGGGTAAATAGGAGGGAAGAGGAGGGGCAAAAGAGTGAGGATCAGGGATGCTGGACCAACGACGCAGGCCTCTCCTTCATTCCATCACTTCCTCTGCTCCCACTGCCTCCCTACACTGTTCCCATCCTCCCGCCCTTCATCTGGTATTCATGGGAGCACATGATGAGCACCACAATCTGGTTCGGATTTCAGTATTTTTTTTAAATAAAAAATTTATAAAATTTTGAATAAATCTATCAATTATTAACATATATAATTCATATTTAATTAGATCAATTCAAATTTAATATGTGTTTGATTTTTCGTTGGTTAAAAATAAATTTGTCAAATATCCATTTAGTAGGTCAACTTAATAAAATTTATATTAAAATATTTTTTTTAAAAAAATCAGTTTAATAAATTAAAAGTTATTTGAATTATATATAAAAAGTGTATTTAAATATACAATTATAAAAATGAACATTGATTTTTATGATTTATAATTTTTTCTTATACAAATGCTTCATGTTAGAAATGTTTGAAAAATATGTGTAATAAAAATGTTAAATAACATAAAATTTAATATGTTAAAAAATAAGAATACAAAATTTGATATATTGGTCAAAAATTATATAAATAGTCAATATACATTAACATTAAAATTAATTGCAAAAGAATTAGAGGTAGCATGATATAATATCCAAAATAGTTACATATTCTAACCCCCTCAACAATAGCCCAACCTCAAATGCACATTTTAAAAAGCTTTCTCAAATTACATTGGTCAAATCCACTTTCACCTACTTAGAGTACTTTTAAAATGTGTTTTCATCAAAATAAATTTAAGGCAAATAACTTTTGGCTTTTAAATTTCCTATGCAGATTTACCCTATGCTGTTCAAATTCAAAACTTTAAACTTATTATACTGTCAAGTTTAAAATAGTCTAGAATACTTTCAATATCAAATAAGAAAAAATATCATTCAAGAATCGTTGACTCAATTTAATATCAAATAGATAGTAAAATTTTAAAATATTATGGCAGGATTAGAGGATTGACTTGAAAATAATTCTAAATGTAAAAATACTATAATACTCTCACTTTTCTTTTACCTTTTTAAACTTCCCAATTAGCAATTATTTTCTCATTAAATATACATGATTATTTGTTAATTAATAAATAACTACTTAGAAAAATATAATTTACACTTGTCTCTTCTTGCAACTAAGCTTTTGTCATTTTTTTGAATTAATCAATTAGCAAATAATTTATTGTTAATGCAAATTGATACTTGTTAAAATATGATATACACTTGTCATTTCTCACAGTAAAGCTTCTTTAGATTTTTAAACTTATCTATTAGCGAATAATTTTTTTTTTCAGATTAAATGTGAATGTATACTTTTTAATTAATGAATGATTATTTGTTAAATAAAAAAAAAGTAAGGATATTAGTCTTTTTATTATAAAAATTATTTTTAAATTAGGCCTCCAATCTTGTAGTGATATTTTGAGTTTTTTTAATCTTTATTTAATATTAAATACTTTAAGGGTGTGTTTCATTAGGCTATGTTTCTTAATGATATTTTTTTTGGTTTAAGAAGAAAGGAGAGGGAAGGTGACAACTAATTTATTATTATATTCATAAATACTAAATTTTACTATTTTGTTAATGTAAATTAATTTATACTGTTTTTTAATGATGGACAATCATTTAATTAAATATGCAATTACAATGAACAGTGATGATTTCTTATTTATATCCAGAATAGTGGTGGCTTTTCTTATTAATTATGTTTGATTTTCTAGTTTGTATGGACTGTAAATTAAATTGAAACGAAATAGTTGGCCCTCCAGCTTCTATATCGTAAATTCCTAAAATCAGAATTGCGAACACTGATTGATTGGCTTTTTCTTATTTAAATTGAATTATAATAAGCAGATCCATAAAACTCATGGTGGACATTGTTTCGGTTGCTCCATGGGTTCCTAAAGATAACTAACGCTTGGAGAACGTAGCAACACTGTCAGAAGTAGCAAACCGTGATAGCAAGCAAGAAAAGGAGTTTATTTTACAGATGGCATTCATGAAATATGAGCAAATAAATGAAAAGCAAATTAATCCAGATATTTGGCTCTCCTTTAAAAAATTTCAATTTAGATGGGCTGAAAGGAGGGGATTGGAGATTTTGCCTTTCTTTCTTTTAAAATTTTTTTAATCAAATAAAACCTCCACTCCAAAAAACCCCCCGTTTCAATAATCTTTGAATGGTGTTTCCTTCTCCAGGAGAGGAAAGCAGGGTGGATGCGGGCGCGTAAGCTATGATGTAGTATGGTCGAAACATGATGGGCAGAAAAAATTAAAGAGGACAAGGTGACGGGACGTGAGATATGTAAAAAGAAGACGGTGCGTGGACTCCTGAAAGCTTCCTGACTCACTGAGTCCTAACAACTAACAACGCGCCTACCATTGTTGCTCCATCCTTTTCATCCGATTTCAATCCCGCTCCCACGTATCTAGATTCTAGACCCCCTTTCAATTTATCACCTCCCTCCCCGACCTCTGTTAATCTCCCTGCTACCACAATTACCAACCTCATCGGCTTCACTGAGTTGTCAGATTTTTGTTTACAAACCCCCCGTGTTTGATTGTCCATGCATGGTATGAAATGCGGATTCACCATAAAAAAGGGCCCCTTCTTCAATCTTTACTATTCGTTTCTGAACGGGGAAAAATGGTATTCGGTGTTTCTGAGCTGAATGAAAACCCCCTTTTGTCTTGGTGGAGGGCCTCCCCCCCGCAGTGAAGGGAATTATTAGCAGAGAAAAGATAAAGGCGAGGCATAGCAAAGGAGACGGGGGTGGGGTGTGTGTGGGTTCTGTACTGTCAAAGCCTGTCCCCCCCACCCTACACAGTCACCCCCCCTTCCTCTCGAACAGTCGAAGTCGGTAAGTCCAAAAGCCACTACCGCATTGGCTTTTCTCGCCTTTTGTTTCTGTGCTTCCTGTGCATTTGTCCATGTCTGTTGCTCCTGCTCCCTCTACTCAGTACCTGCAAATGGGCGAGGAATCATACTTTGAATTTCTTGTTCTTATTTGACGCTGTTTTCCACCCCCCCCCCCCCGGAGGGGGGGTTTTATAACTTTGTGGTGCCCTCCATATATGAATTCCTTTATGTGATTTGACCCTCCTTTCCATTTTATATAGTTTTCACTTTCCGGATGTTCTTTTTAATCACCCTCGCTCGCTTTCCTTCCTTCCCTCCTTGCAACTTTTAATATTCTGTTACTTGTTCTGCTTCCGTTGTGTCTCGCCAGAGCTGCGCTGGGTGTTCATGGAAATTGATCTGAACCATGCAGTGACTGAGGTCGAGAAGAATGCCTTCTGCGATGGGCGCTGTGAGCAAGGCGCTTGTGCTTCGTGTTTCTCTTCTTCCACTTCTTCCTCTCCCAACTCGCCTTCACCTCGCGTCTCTTCTTCTTATCTCGAACTCTGGCATGCTTGTGCCGGCCCCCTCACCTCCCTCCCAAAGAAAGGAAATGTAGTGGTCTACTTTCCCCAGGGTCATCTTGAACAGCTTGCCTCTTTCTCTCCTTTCTCGCCCGGTGACATGCCCACCTGTGACCTTCAACCGCAAATCTTCTGCAGCGTCGTCAACGTCCAGCTTCTTGTGAGTGCCAAATTATCTTCACACACTGAATTGTACCTGCTTCCCTCATTTAATTCGATTATTTCTAGTTGGTTTTCAATTTTTGTAATCGTTAGCATATTTGTTATTTCCCTGAACAGGCCAACAAGGAGAATGATGAGGTTTATACACAGGTTACTTTGCTTCCCCAGACAGAGGTTGGTCCTTCTTTTCCCTTCTCTTCTCTCTGTGTGTGTGTCAGATATATATATATATATATATATATATATTTTGGCACAAGGCTGAGGTTGGCCTTTAACTCAACTTATTTCTGCTCTGATGCATCTCAAGTATGTTTGAGGAAAATCGTGTCTTCTTTGTGGGTATAGGAAGCTGCCATATTCTACGTAAATCATTAAATTCTGATTGCTGCGGACTTCATTCTCTGTTGGAATATTCGTTTATACATAGGAATTTGCTTGAATTAATGACTTCGATTACACACAGAGACTAAACACTAAAGTCTTGAGCTGCCTTCAGTTAGCAGGAATGCACTTGGCGGGCCAAGAACTTGAGAAATTGGGAGCATATGAGGAGGGAAATGGAGGATTACCCGCAAAATCAACCCCTCACATGTTCTGCAAAACGCTTACTGCTTCTGATACTAGCACTCACGGGGGGTTCTCCGTTCCTCGCAGGGCTGCTGAAGACTGTTTTCCTCCTTTGGTTCAATTTCTAGTTCTCTTTTTCACTGATGCTTGATGAACTTAAAAATTATTTATTGTATAGTCTCCTTTGAGGTGATAATTCTTTTTATGCAGGATTATAAGCAGCAAAGACCCTCCCAAGAGCTTGTTGCAAAAGACCTTCACGGAGTAGAGTGGAAATTTCGCCATATTTACAGAGGTAGATTGCAAAGAATAACGTAGCATGACTTCAACAATGTATTGTTGGGTTAAAAATTGAAGCTGCAATTTTTCAGGTCAGCCAAGGCGGCACTTGCTCACAACTGGCTGGAGTATTTTTGTCAGCCAAAAGAATCTTGTATCTGGCGATGCAGTACTTTTTCTGAGGTACATATATGTTGAGTTGAGATGTTTTAGTGGCATTAATTCCTAGACGGAAGATTTTTCATCATGTGTCGCATGGACATAATTTAGCAGATGCATAATTTGAAAGAAAGTGAAGCTTGTATGACTTGATATATTAAATCATCTTCCATCAATTAAGGGGCATTCCCCTTGTATAACCCAAAATATTAAATCACAAACTGATAACTTTCATGTTCCTATTCCTATTCCTATCAATCAGTCAGCTGGCATGCATTTATCTTTAAATATAGCTAGTTTTGTTTCTTGTCATAGTAGTGCTCAAGTACCAATCTAGCGAAAGGGTTCAAAAGATAAAGTCTAATTTAATATGGGCATATATCTAAAATGCTGTGTTTTCTTTTATATGAGAATCTACAATTTTCGTGCCGCTAAAGCATGAAAAAATGTTCTAATAATATCTGAACTTAAAAATGAAATTTACTACTCATATTATCCAGTCTCTATAGAGGACGAGTTTATCATTCTAGCAGCTACAGATCCCTTACTGCTTAAAAATGCATTGTAGAGGTGAAAGTGGAGAACTGAGATTGGGAATCAGGAGATCTGTTCGACCTAGAAATGGTCTTCCAGAGTCAATTATTGGTGATCAGAATTGCTATCCTAATTTCCTGTCTGCAGTGGCTAATGCCGTATCCACCAAAAGCGTGTTTCATGTTTTCTACAGCCCAAGGTACACGTTTAGCCAACTAATATTTTAAATGCAAATGAGATGAAAACTGCTTGGCCATTATGCTTATCTATAACAATTTGTTTAAGATTGTAATGGAATTCCTTCTTTGGCTTTCTGCTGATAATTTAAGCTTATGAGATTGTCAGGTTCTTGACATAATATCTAAGCTGACATGATAAGCGATGTAGAACTGAGAGAAGTATTTATTGTTATTATATAATTTAAGTTTACCAAGGAAATTCTGTTGTCATTAAGAAATCATAGATGTGAAAAAGGAATCTTTTTAGCCTTCATATTTATATAGTGTTTTCCAGTAATCTATTGAGCTTCCAATCTGGTGCAGCAGTCATGACTGATAAGTTACCTTTTAAGCTTTGTTTTCTCGATTAAAGCTTTGTTTTCTCAAGCGAGAGGCTAATGACCAGATGTAAAGTGGCCTGGTTCTACCCATATAATTCAGCTGAATAGAATGTCCAAAATAGAAAATATTGCCATCACGCTACATGGGGTGGCTCAATAGCATTGGATAAAACCGGGCCACTTTACATCTGGCCATTAGCCTCTCACTTGAGAAAACAAAGCTTAAAAGGTAACTTATCAGTCATGGCTGCTACACCAGATTGGAAGCTCAACAGATTATTGGAAAACAGCATATAAATATGGAGGCTAAAAGGATTCCTGGAAACATAAGGAAGTACGAGATAAATGAAAATGAAGCGGAATATTCAAACCCTAATTTCATTAAAACAGTCATGTTTGTATTTCTTCAAATATTTTTTTAAAAAACCAAGGACTTTGATTTGAATTTTGAACAGAACAGGCTTACAGCTTTTCTGCAAATTCAGATGATAAGATCTTTAGGAGGATGATGCCTGCTGCTTTCTTCTCTCCTATCTTAATTGATTCTTCTTTTGCCAATAACTTTTCATTAATAAATGGAAACTCTTTTACTTTCCATCGATAGAAATATTTAATATGATTAGCATATGATTCAAGCAAAATATTCCGTTTTCTTTTTTGTGCATAGTGTCACAAAAGTTTGAACCAAAGACTTCTTGCATGCTACTTGAACCTTTCGTGACTGGACCATACTTTCTGGCTCATTATGTTTGGATTTCTTTATCATGCAGGGCAAGTCATGCAGATTTTGTTGTCCCTTACCAGAAATATGTCAAAAGCATCAAGAATCCAATGACCATTGGGACAACATTCAAGATGAAATTTGAAATGGATGAATCTTCTGAAAGAAGGTAAACAACTTTATGCTTGTAAATATTTTACAAATGTCTTACTTTACAAACAATTCCTTGTGATGAATATAACAGTATATTCCTATCTTGCAGGTGCAATGGTGGTATAGTGACTGGAATGCGTGATTTGGATCCCTACAGATGGCCTAAATCAAAATGGAGGTGCTTGATGGTATATTTGCAATTTTTTGTTATTCATGCGCAATACATTTTGACAGAAATTGAACAATTTTATGCTTCGCTCCCATCAAATCATTTTCTACGCAAATCCAGTAGCCATTCAATCCCATATGACTGGGAGCTGTCAGAGACATTAAAGTCAGCACACCCCAAAAAAAAAAAATTGCGTAAGGGGAGAAAGACATTGAAGTCGGATTTACAAACAAGTAGCATCAAGCTGAATTTTTTTAAAGCCACTTTGAGGAAGTCACCTGGAAATTTGATCTCACTGGACTTTCTTTTCTACGTATATCTTCTTGCAGTCTATTATTTTTTTTCATGCTTGATTTAGTCGCCTCTCTAGCTGGACTTGACTCAAATATCTTGCAGTTAAGCCGCAGTAGTTCCATACAATGCCCAATGTATTTAAACTGGGTAATGAGCATGTGTTGATGGCAGCTTTATAATGAAAGCTTACTATTACATCCACAGGTAAGATGGGATGACGAAATTGCTACTAATCATCAAGATCGAATTTCTCCATGGGAGATTGAACCTTCTGTTTCTCTCCCGCCCTTTAGCATCCAGTCATCCCCAAGACTAAAGAAATTGCGGACAGGTCTGCAAACTGCCACTTCAAGTCACCTCATGACCGGTATGAGCCCTAATGTTGAGTGCGTGTAAATAGCATAAATCCTTGCAGCTCATTTTTGTGCATTCTAATCCTGTTCATTTTTGGCTTCTGGTTGGGGCAGGAGGTGGCAGTGCATTTATGGACTTTGAGGAGTCCGTAATATCACCCAAGGTCTTGCAAGGTCAAGAAAATACAGGTTTTGCATCATACTATTTTGGGCGTGATGCATTGAAGAACCAGCCAGATTTTGAGATGAGTCCTCCCAGTCATCCAAATCTTGCATCCACTGGATTAAGAAAGGCTGCTGCTGCTGAGCTTATGAGGGTTCACCCTTCTAGTTATGCAGGCTTCGCTGAGACTAACAAGTTTCTAAGGGTCTTGCAAGGTCAAGAAATATGTCCACTGCAATCTCTGAAAGGAAAGGCTGATTTTAACCTTGGGGTTTGGAGTAAACCCAATGCCAGTTGCACAACTTTGAACCAACGACAGGCATCCAAAACCAACTTTGACACTTTAGGATCAGAAGACCTTCAAACTGCTTATTTTCCTTTCGGTGACATTCACAGAGCTGGTCAAAGCAGCCTGTTTTGCTCTAAATCTGCAAATTTCCTGAGAGAGGATGTCCACGCTCCTTCCACTCAGGCAGAGCTCACATTAAAGGAAGTTGGACGGTCAGAACTCTCAAACAAGGACAAACTGCAGGGCAGTTTTTCTGCTGCTGCTTCTTTAGAAGCAAGTCTAAGGATTTCAAATGACGATAATTATGAGGGGAAGGTAACTGCCTGTAAACTATTTGGGTTTCCCTTATTTAGGGAAGGCAACTCTCTGAACTTGCAGGGCTCTGCTAAAAGGAGTTGCACAAAGGTGAGCGATGATAGCAACAGCGTTATATTGTGATATGCCTTTTCTCTTCCTTTGATGTTTTGTCCACCTATATAACATCCACTGAATGAAGGTTCACAAGCAAGGTAGCTTAGTTGGAAGAGCCATTGACCTCTCAAGACTGAGCAGCTACAGTGACCTGTTGAGTGAACTAGAGCGACTGTTTGGCATGGAAGGCCTTATAAAGGATCCTGATAAAGGATGGAGGGTCCTGTACACCGATAGTGAAGATGACATTATGGTTGTAGGGGATGACCCATGGCAGTAAGTATTCATCATCCTGGACACAACATTGTTAAATTGCTTTGCCACCTTTCCGTCATTTATTAATAGCCACCACATACTTCCACTATATTTACCCTGACAAAACTGAGAAAAAAGCTTGATTCCTTTTTTGTGCAGTGAGTTCTGCAGTGTAGTGTCTAAGATCCATATATATACCCAAGTAGAAGTCGAGAAGATGACAATTGGGATGATTACTGATGATACTCACAGCTGTTTGGAACAGGCACCAGGGGTAATGGAGGCTTCCAAGTCCTCATCTGTGGGCCAGCCAGATTCTTCTCCTACAGAAGTTAGAGTCTGAGGCTCAGGGTTGTCTTGGATCCTAAGTATATGTTGGAATCGTTCCATGTAATTTAATCATTCCCGCATATGATCGTGATTTGATTATCTTCTTTTGAGCTCTTAAGCCTAACCAAGCAGACCAAAGTTCCTGAATAAGGGCAGATTGTGTGAGCACTATGTATTGGCAAACCATTACTGCCTAAGTCTTATTTTGCATGCTGTGTGGTATAACGTTGAAGTCTCCCAATTTCTTGCCATCAGTGGTATATTGTAAGCACACACAAACAGTTCAGGAGCTGACTCTCTGCAAGTCGCTGGACGTTTGACGATGCATGAACAAGTCACATTTGATTCTGGGGAAATGACGCCTAGTAATTTTCTACGCTTTATGCCAAAATTTTAAGAGTTAGAATGATTTGCGAATAATCAAAAAACAATAGTACGCTTGATTTGTAAATAAATTGAAGGGCCACCAATAATATGATTCAAGATAATGATTCTAATTCATTTACAAATGAAATCGATGGTTAAAATTTGCAATGTTTAGAAGACAAAGTATACCTACAGTGTGGCGCAGGGTTGACTGAGTCCGCTTCTCATGTAATTATAGCGTTTGGCCGTCTAATTTATGAGGCCAACTACTAAGCGGGTCAAGGGTAAAAAGGAATAATATTAAGGATAGCCAATAGTAAAACTGCCATGAATTTTGAGTAAACATGCCAGTATGTCTAAATACATGGACTACTGGTATCACCATCAGTGACAGAGGAGGACTAGGGGAGCCTTGGCCCCTAATTTTTTAATTTTCCCTTTGTAAAATAAGAGTTATATAATAATGGAAGGAAAATATAATATATATATATATATATATATACACAAGTTGAAACCACATCATGTTTCCAATCAACCTCGAATTTTACGGTTGAAAAGGCCAAATAACTACATCGAAAAATATCGAAGAACAGGTATTCTGGAGCATGTAAGTTGCCTATCATTTGGCTCACTCATTGCCAACTGCATCGTGTTCAACCTTTCAAAAATCTTAAAGAAAGCCATCTGAGGTTAATTTTGATGATAAGAATGGGTGAAATATAAGTGACCATCTAAAAGATTCAGATGCTTGCCAAAGTATTCAGTAACTGCAGGCAGGCTGGCTCAGACATTGCGTTTTAATCAGAATATTTGGTTGTTAGAAAATGCGTTCGGGAGGCGTTCTCTCTCTTAGTCTATACCCTTGTCCTCGTGAATTTTTGAAGGATTTGCTACTGCAAGGTGCTATTGATTATTGAAGGGTTTGTTTTTTTTTAACCAACTTGTTGAAGTTTGTTTGCCTAGCCTGCTTTCCACGATGTTGTCAAATGTAACCAGAAGAAAGGACAACTAATAGACTGTCTGTTATCACAGTTAGAAACCATTTTAAAGAAAATCTGAAAAAAAAAAAGAGATTCATTTATCATTATTAAAACAACTTGATCACAAATATTATACCTAAGCTATTTCCTTTTTTTTTTTTTATGAAAGGCAATTTTTTAAATATGACTAGTGCTAGACAGCACCACAAGCAAAAGGGGAAGAGAGTGTCTCCACTTCCCTTCCCTCCATTTCCCTCTTATTATTGTCAGATTAAAATTTCAACAGTCCATATTTAATTTTTGATGAAATTACTATTTTAACTTTTTACAAAGATATATAAATAATTATAAATTATAATATTTTATTTATTTATCTTATATAAATTTAAAATAATAATTTTATCAAAAATTAAATGCAAACTGTTGAAAAGTTTTGATCCAAAAGTAATGAGAGGGAAATTGAGGAAAAATAAGTGGAGACACCCTCTCCTAGGGGTGTTCATAGGTTCGGTTCGGTTTGGTTTTGGGCAAAAACTAAACCGAACTGAACCATTCGATTTATTGATAATTGAGACCTGATCGGTTTTTATGCAGTTCGGTTTGGTTCGGTTTTATTTTCGGTTTGGTTAAGGTCTTGATCAAGTTTTAATGCACTTGTTTAATTTTTTTTCCTTTTCTCCATCTTCATAATGGTGCTATGTACTAAAATTAAATTTAATTCTTTTTGACTCCTTTTTTTCATAAATAGAGGTATAAAAATATAATAAAATTTCAATGTGATAACAATAATTAATCATAAAAATTGATATAAGTTTTTAAGATTAAAATTATTTAATATTATGTATTTTCATTAAAATCCTTTGAAAATGTTTATCTATGTATCTATACTTTAATAAATAATAAAAAACTTATTATACAAAATTCAAAACAAAATGTTTCTTGTAGAAAAATTGAATGCTGAGGCTTTTAGGTTGTAAATAATTAAATGATGATCATAGCATGATTATTATAATTACTTAATATTATGCATTTTCATTCAAGTATTTTAAAAATATTTATTTATTACTATAAAAATTCAAAACAAAATGCTTCTTGTAGATAAATGGTTATATATTTTACAAATAAATAAATAAAATTTTTTTAATCAGGTTTGGTTTGGTTTCTAGTATTTAAAACCGAACTTGAACCGAATCAATCGGTTTTTATATTGTAAAAACCGAAGCAGACCTAATTGTTGTTCGGTTTTGATCAGTTTTTGTCGGTTTGGATTGGTTTGGATCGGTCTTTTCGGTTTGGATCGATTTTGAACACCCTTACCCTCTCCCCAAGCTAAAGAGGGTTTGGTTTCTCTGCTCAGCAATGTAGCAAGCGCATGGTCTGTTGGCTACATAGGCGGCAAACATGGACAGCGACACTTGATTGGTTGCTTGAGTCGTGCCCGGAAGGACGCTGTCCTTAAGAACTATTCCGGCACACCGTCCGACGGCCGGCAGTTCCCCAGGATTAAACAAGTACCTCCTCGGTGGAACGAGGGAACAGAACAACGGAGACCAAACGCAAGCACAAACAAACACAGACAGATTCACAGAGGGAGGAAGAGAGAACCGCGAGAACTCAAGAGGCTTGTGTATCGATCTGTCTGCACCCATAGCTATATATAGCCCGAAGGTGGACATGAACGTTGGGGGGTTACCACCGGTTTAAAAGCTCGGTTATAGTCTCATAGAAATTGTTTAAAAGCTTGTCTGGAAACGTTGGGGTTACACAAACGTTTGTAAAACGCATTCAACCTCCTGTCTGGAAACGTTGGGAAGACAAACGTTTAGAAAAAATTAATTTGTTTAATGATAAAAAAAACGTTCTTAGTTTGACTTCAAACTCCAGACAGCCAAAATTTGAGTTTCTCCGGCAAGCCAAAATAATTATTTATTTGCAAATCGCACACAGGGGGGTGAATCGGCTGATTTCAACTGCGATTGCTCTGAGTTGGCCTGTCTCATGTGCGCGAGACCACTTCTTTTCCAAGCCCAGTTTACTAGCCCACTTCATTCCTTAGTATATATACACTAGGAGAGTCTTTCTTTTAATCAATGTGGGACTTTGACACACACATACTTTTGACACATATATAACATGGTATGCATCAAGTAAATAGCACCTCGTTTTGGGTGATACAAGGAAACCAAAACACAGTCTTCTCCCTCATTTTGATTCTGCCCAAGAACAAAATAGAAAAGGAGAAGAAATTGGTTATAGGGACTATTTTCCTGAGACCCACCAACAAAACTCGCAGACTTGTATCTTTTTTCCCCCGATGAAAATAAGTTCATTGAGCCAAAAACTACAGTGCCATGCGTATCTTCCGTTTTTCAATTATATATAATATAAATAAGCAATAAAAATATTTTAATATGTATAAAATTATATAATATTGTTGTTTAAATTTAAAATTCTATAGGAATTACACAAATTAAATTTTGTCTCATTATTTTAATTTAGGGGTAAATGAAATTTTTAATTTCTTATATTTATCTTAGTTATTAATTTGATTCCTTAAATTTAATTTTTATTAATATATTCTCTTATATTTTAAAATCATCAAAGAAGAGAAAATAAAGAAATCAAATAACTTATGAAAATTGAATAGTTCTCATTTAGTCACATGTATGCATGTCAAATTATTAACATATTTTATACATTGGTTTAATTTAAGGGTCAATTTATATTTCAGAACCTAGAGAATTAAAAATATAATATAAAAATAAAATATTATATTGATAAAAATTAAATTTGAGAGAATAAAAATTCTATTATAATTTAAATTTACGTGGGTATAACTAATCCTGAAATAACAAATTGTTTTTTATTATTTAACATACATGGAAAACAAGTTATAAAATATTGTGTGTGGCAATAAAGCAAATCGTTCTTTACATTCTCAAGAGGGAAGATGACAAAAACTCGTATTTTTTTGACTCAGTAAACTTGTTTCATCCGGGGGAGACGAGTCCATGAGTTTTGCTGGTGGGTCCCCCGGAAATAATCCAATGGCCATTCCTTCTACTTTTCTAATTTGTCCAATTGTCCTTGAGCGGAATCAAAAGGAGCGAGAAAGCGCGGTTGATGAGTACCATGCGCTCAGCTGAGCGGGGAAACCGGACCCAGCAAAAGCGGGACCATAACTTCGGTGTGGGTTTGTAAATTTTGACTCTGCTTGTCGCGGCCGAGTACTTCAACCTCACTGGCCGCTGGGACTGCCAGATTCTTGAAAGGAGTCCTCCTGCCTCTGTGTTCCGACGCCTGAAACCCTAACCCGCCATGGATGCAGGGGCTACCAGAGACAAGGCGTCGCCTCCACCGAAGCCCTCCAAGTTCTCCGTCTACCAAAACCCCTCATTCTCTGCCGTCCTTACCGCCAACAGTCTCCAACCTTCCAGCCACACTTTCCTCAGCATCGTTTCCTTCTTCTCTGCCTCTTCTTTAGCTTTTATCGCCGTTCTCTTCAGGTACTCTACTGCATTGTGGTTAATAGTTTACCACTTTCACCGCTCCTTCGCAGCAAGAAAGAACTGGGGAGACAAATAATAAAAGAACTAGAAATAAAAGAATTGCTGAATTTTTCTTTTTCCTTTAAGTGACGTTGTTAAATTGTGACTGCGGTTTCTATGAAAGATCATATTTCCATTAGTAGATCATTTGAGGTTTTTCACGACCTGTATCAATCTCTTGTCGCTGTAGTTCTCTTTGCTTCTCACGGCCTGCAACCTTCAATTTATCATGTGGTCGATTAGAAGGAAATATATATCCACGGCAGAGGCTAGATAGTTGCGGTTTTATTTGTAGTTGTCATAGAAGTGTAGTGACTACTGCCTGTTGAATAAGAAATTTGGAGCTCTTCTGCTT